CAGAATGTGAACGGCAGAGTGCGCAAAAACATGTAACACATGAAACGGGAAAGGGGAACATGGAGGTGGGCTCAGCAGCCAAGCACCTGTCTAGCCAGGGTCAGGCCCTGGGTTCAATAGCCAGTGCTGCAAAAAGACAAGGGAAATGACCCTCCCTTTGAAGAGTTTAAAAGAGAAAACAGAGTCTAGTGCAATAGTGTTTTAGACTGTGAAAAGGCAGCTCACCAAGTCCAAGACACAAACCTCCAGGAGACACGGTGTGGCAGGTGACCTTACTTTGATCAAATAAATGTAATGGAAGCAAGGAGGCAGGCTGGCAATGGAGTTACATAAACTGGGTGCAATGACACACATACCTATAATAAAAGCACTTGGGAGGTAGAGGCTGCTGTCCAGGTCAGCTCTGGGGTTGGAGAGATGGCTCAATTGTTAAGAGCACTTGCTGTTCTTCCAGAGGACCAGAGTTTGGTTCCCAGCAACCACCTTGGGTGCCTCACAACTGCCTGTAACTCCAACTCCAGGAATCTAATGCCCCATAGAGCATACACACACACACACACACACACACACACACACACACACACACACACACACACACAAATACTAAAGTAAAAGGGACCCAAATTGCACCAACATTGAAGAGAAAAGCTTTGGGAGTCACAGCTATGCCCACTGCAGAAGCCAGGGTGAAGAGCATGTCATAGTGAAGGCCATCTCTTTGACCCTCTTTAGTAAGAGATAATCCACCATAAGGTTCACTGCACCAAGTCAAATGATGGATGAGACCACTGTCATTTTAGTGTAAATGCAAGATGAATTATTGAGGGCTTTTATGTGCCAGGCATTGTTCTAAGCTCTTTATACCAATTAACACGACTAACCCTCACAGCACCACCATGCCAGATGTAGTGTTATTAATCCCTGATGTGCAGTTACAGAACTCTAGAAAGTAGCTATTAAACTTGAGACCAGCAGGCAAAGCCAGGCAGATTGGCTCCAGAGTCCCCAACCCTTAAATACACCTACCTCCTCCCCAACCACAGGCATCCCCTGGAGGTTTCTCAATGGATCAGTTAATTCTTGTTTTTCTCTTTTTGTTGTTTTGTTTTTTCTTTTGTTACATTTTACATTGTGTATGAATGCGCTCATACACACCCACATACGAGAGTTTGTGTGTGAAGGTCAGAGGACAATTCCCACCAGTGAGTTCTCTCCTCTCGGTATGTGGTCCTGGGGATTCAACTGAGTTGCCAGACTTGGTGGCAAAAGCCTTCACCCACTGAGCCATCTTTCTTGGCTTTGGCCATCGTTTCAAAGAATGACACCCAGTGTTGAGCTCAGCAGGCTCTGCACATAATCCCACAAAGACCTCTGAAGTTCTAGTGGGGCCGCCAACCCAGATGGCCGTTCCAACTGGTGGATAGTCCATCCAAGCAGTCCTCTAACACCTGATGCCTGAGCACATTGGATCTAGATGGTCTGGGCTAGTCACTCCAGAAACTATCCAGGGGGCTGGATAGATGGCTCAGCAGCTAAGAACATGCTCTGGTCATGTTTTGTTTTTTTTGTTTTTTGTTTTTCCCAACTTGACACAAGCTAGAGTTACCCAAGAAGAGGCAACTGAGCAAATTCTTCCATTGGATAGGCCTGTAGGGCAGACCAGTCTAGGGGACATGTGAATTGATGTGGAAGGATCCAACCCACTGTGGGTGATGCCGCCCCTGGGCAGGTCCTGGGTTGTATAAGAAAGCAGGCAGGGTGGGTATGGTGACTCACGCCTTTGATTCCAGCACTCAGGAGGCAGAGGCAGGCAGATCTCTGAGTTCAAGGCTAGTGTGATCTACAGAGTGAGTTACAGCCCAGCAAGAGCTACACAGAGAGACCCTGTCTTAACACACATGCCGCCCTATCCCCCCATAAAAAGAAGGAAGGAAGGAAGGAAGGAAGGAAGGAAGGAAGGAAGGAAGGAAGCATGCAGGATAAGGATAAGCCGTGGGAAGGAAGACAGTATGCACTTTTCTGATTCTGTTTCAGTCCCTGCCTCCAGGTTCCTGCCTAGACTGTGGCATGGGATATGTGAGCTGAATAAACTCTCTCCTCCCCAGGTTGCCTTTGGTAACAGTGTTTATCACAGCGACAGAAAACAGACTAAGAGGGCACTTGCTGCTCTTGCAGAGGACCCAAGGCTGCTCCCACTGCTGACCACTGCCTGTGGCTCCAGCACCAGGGGATCTGAAGCCTTCTGGACTCCACCGCCAGCCACACATGTACACAGACCCCCTCATACACAATTCAAGACCAAAGACACCCTAAGAAATGAAACTGTCCATTACCTTAGGGACTTTCAGGTGGAGGAAAGGGGACATAGATGTCTCCTGTTGCCACTTTTGTCTTTTTCAAGATGAAGAGTCTGCTTAACCCTCTACTTAGATAAAGTAGCTTTGCCATTAAAACAAAATCAGTTTCTGGAGAGAGGGGGATACATTTTGAAGAGTTAATGTTCTTTTGGAAAATAATTCATTGTTGGGGGTACTGAGGCAAGGTCTCATTATGTAACCCAGTCTGGCCTTAAACTTGAAATATTCCTGCCTCAGCCTTCTAAGTGTTGGAATTACAGATCTGGGCTATCAAGCCAGTTCCAAACATACACATACAATATATATATATAAATTTTTTGGCTTTTTGGTTTTTGAAGATAGGGTTTCTTTGTGTATCACTGACTGTCCTGGAACTAGCTCTATAGACCAGCCTGGCTTTAAACTCACAGAGATCATCCTGCCTCTGCCTCCCAAGTGCTATGATTAAAGGTGTGGGCCACCACCGGCCTGCCCTCCAAACAAACATATTTTTATTGTAGTAAAAATATACACATAATATAAATGTCACCATTAGCTACCTCCATCTATACTATGTTGTATAATATTTATCTCTATCTAGCCCCAGAGTATTTCTGCCAGCTCTGTAGGAAATATCAAAGCCTTTAAGCAGAGCCTCCCCCAGAGCCCCTCCTTGGCCCCTGAAAACCACTCATCTACATTATATCTTTTTTTAAAAAAAGATCTATTTGTTTTTATTTTATGTGTATGAGTGTTTGCCTACATGTATATGTGTGTACCACATGCAGTCAGTGCCTCTGGTGGCCAGAAGAGGCTGTTGGATTCCCGGAACTAGACTTAAGATGCTTTTGAGCCACTGTGTGGGCGCTGGGAGCCTAACCCAAGTCCTCTGCCAGGACAGCCAGGGCTGCTGAGCCACCTCTCCTGCTTCTACTATGTTTTTATGTGTTGAACTAATCGAAACACATAAACTAAGTGAAATCATGTAATATGTGGCCTTGTGGGTCTGCTTTCCTTTCCTAGTGTGATATATTCAAAGCTCACCATGTTAAAATTTCAATGCATTTCTTCCTATGGTTGGACGATAGTCTAGTATTGATGAATTAGCAAATTGCTTTCTATAGTAGCTGCACTATTGTACATTCCAACCAGCAATGAATGATGCTTCCAGTTTCTCCATACCTCCAACAACATTGTTATTTTCTTTTTAAAAATATGTGTGAAATTGTTTCTTACTGTATTGTGGTTTCCTTTTGCCCAATGACAGCAATACTGACTCTTTTTTTTTTTTTTTTTAGTTCAGGCTGCCCTTGACTTGATGTATAGTCAACTTCTGATGCTCCTGACTCCACCTCCCAAGGGCTGGGATTACAAGTGTGTGTTACCATATGGAGCTTTAAATGGTTCTGTGGCTTAAACCTAAGCCAAGCAAGCACTCCGATCCACAGCCCAGTCCAGGGCAGCAGCATCACACCTTAGACTGGGCCTTGCAGTGTAGAAGCTGAAGAAGCTTGCTGAAAGCAGGCAGGTAGCGTGGGTGTGCTCGTTTCTTTCTGCTTTTAACCGGGAATGGAATGTGACCCACTCTCTCTAGCTCTTTGCCTCGGTGACTGCTGCACGATAATGGAGAATAGCCTAGAATTCTAAGTCAAACAAACCCTTTCTCCCGTGTTGCTCTTTAGCTCTGGTTAATTTTATCACAGCAACAGCAATGAAACTAGGACGGAATTGTTGTCTGGCTTCCTCTTCAGAGCCAGGATCCGTGGCTGTAATCACAGCATTCAGCAGTATTCACCGGGCTGAGGCAGAAAGATTGTTCTAAGTTCCAGGCCAGCCTCGGCTACACTTGTGAGATCTTACGTCAAAAACAAAACAAACTCAGGAGGCAGAGGCAGGCGGATCTCTGTGAGTTCGAGGCCGGGCTGGACCGACAGAGAAACCCTGTCTCGTAAAACTAAAAAACAACAACAACAACAAAAACAACAAAACAAAACAAAACAAACAAACAAAGCAAGATGTTCATTCAACCCAGGCAAGCCCCAGCCACCTAACAGTCCCTTTGTGGTAACCTTTCTAGTGCTGGGATTACAGGTGTGAGCTTCCACGGCCAGTCTGGCCCCAGTTGCCTCTTAAAGGATTACTTTAAGGATTTACCGGGTCAACTCAATCTTCATCTTTACCTCAAATGTTCAGTGTAATTTTCAGGTTCCAATCCATCAAAGCTTCTCTACAAAGACCCCTACGGACCTCCTCCTGATCTTTATACCCTGGTTACCTGGTGGTAGAAATAACTCAGCAGGGAGCGAGAAGGTAGCTCAATTGGTAGAGCATTTGCTCAGCTTGCGCAAGGCCGCTGGATTTTATCCCCACCACCACATAAAACTAGCCATGGTGGCTCCTGCTTGTTTTCTTAGTTCTTGAGACGCAAGGGGTTGGGAAGCTTAAGGTCATCCTCAGCTACTTGATGAGTTGGAGGCCAGCCTGGAATACATGGAGACCCTGCCTCAGAAAAACCAGGGCTGGAGGGATGACTCAGTGGTTAGGTGTGAGACCCGCTCTCGCAGAGAACCCACACTGGGTGTCTTACAACTGCCTGCAACTGCAGCTCTGGGGATCTAAATCCCGCACCTGCACTCACACGTGCGCGCACACACACATCTAAAATAAATCTTAATTTTTTTTTTCCACAGAAAAATAACTCCCAGGATTTTCTGGCCCTGACTTCTGCGAGGAGAAACTCCTCGCCCTTATCAGGCCACCCGCTGCCTTCTGTCCTGCCGCCTTGCTGGGTGGGGTATTCTAGAAGGCCCCGTGACCCAGTTCAGGCTGACTGCCCTGTGCCTTTCCAGCAGGAAACTTGTCTTAGATCTCTCGGAGCTCTGGACACGTTGTTCCTTCGAGGTCGCTCCTGCCAGGAAGACAGGCAAATTCTTCATGCAAACTGGGGTCATTTTAGCGAGTCGGGGCCCCTCGCTTGGAATCTGTTTTCCATGTTCAGAAAAGAGAGCTGAGGGGATGGAACTCTCGAGAAGCTGAGATTTAGAAAAGCTGTGGGCAGAGTGGGATAGGAACGTGAGCTTGGGCGGCTGAGTGGGTGGCGAGGGGCGGGGACCGAGGAACAGGCTCCCAAGGCCCCTCCCGGTTGCCTAGGTGACGGGAGGTGGGAGGAGGACCCAGAAGTGGCGGCTGGGTTTATCCGGCATCTCAGATCTTAATTCCATGGAGTGGCACCCACTTCAGCCCCTTTGATCCCAGCAGCTCAGCCTCCAGGGGAGAGTGGGGCGGGAGCGCCAACACAGGAATTCTTTTCTATCCTTTCAGCTCGGTACTCAGGGTTCTATCACCGCTCACAGAAAATGTCAACCCTGGGAAGGGGGCTAGGGAAAGTCCTCTGGTCTATGTGGTTTTCAGATCCTTGTTTCAAAGGAAATCTTTCCCAGAATCCCAATATACAAAGCAAACATCAAGGATCCGCTCGCCCTCCTCTGCAGTGTGTGAAAGTGCTCCGGATCTCCGTTTGTCCATCTGGGGAAAAAAAAAATCTGGGTTGCCTATTGCTACCGACTTGCTCAATAGTACCCGACAAGTGAATTCATGGCAGTCTTGGGAAGGGCCTTTCAGTGGGCGTCCCAGAGCAAGCAAGAAGCAGTAGGGTCCTGGAGGAAGCATCGTGAGAACAGACTGGTCCAGGAGCTTCGTAGCTGGGGCAGCACAACCCCGTCTTTTGCAGGAAACTGAGGCCCGGAGTGGGGCAGTGGCTTGGCGGGGTGTGTTGTCCCTAAAGAGAGAAATATCGTCTGTGAAGGACAAGGTTGTGAGTGTCTGAATGTTTGGCTGTCTCCAGCCTTGTCGCTTAGATCAAATTCAGGGGTGCCAGATGGCGCAGGGGCGGAGCACAGGCCTGGGAATCTCAGCCCTGTAACTGGCGGCCCCATGACCTTGGGGGATTTATTCTAAAGAGGCAGAGGGATCATCCCCTAGTTTGCAAGAGGTCCAGGGAGTAATAGGATTAAATGGTGCTTCAGAGTGGGTTCGGAGTTTTTTTTTTTTTTTGGTTTTGTTTTTTTATTGTTTCTAAATGTCAGGGCGTCCTGGGGGCAGGGGACAAGCACACTGGTTTTCAAGACTGAATTTGACAGTGAGTTTTAAAAACGTCATTATTTTTCCCTCATTTTTCATGGCTGATTGTAAAGTGAGTGTCAATTCAGAAACATGTAAAGAACAGAAAATGAAATGAAAAAATAAAACACAGGGACAATAAGATCATCCATAAACGTGACTTTAGAGACAGGCGTGTACATTTCCTCCCCCCCCTTTTTTTCCTTGTACTGAATACTTCATATTGTAATTTTAAAAATAACCTAATGAGTAATGTATAGCTCAGACTAATATTAGACTTTCGGGCCGTGAGATGGCTTGGTGGGTGAAGGTGCTTGTCACCAAACATGGGTGGCCTGAGTTTGGTCCCTGGAACCTGCATGGTAGAAGCAGAGAACTGATGGCAGAAAGTTGTCCTCTGGCTTCCACGCATGTGCCATGAAAAGTAACCCCCACACACAACACACAAAATAAATATATTTAATACTTTTTAAAAGAATATTAAAGTTGGGGACTGGAGAGATGGCTTAGCAGCTAAGAGGACCTGAGTTCGATTCCCAGTACCCACATAACAGCGCACAATTGTCTGTAACTTCAGTACCAGAGACCTCCTCACACAGACAGATGTGCAGGCAAAACACCAATGCACATAAAATAAAAAATAAAAAGGCAGCTGGGTATGGTGGTACAAGTCTTTAGATCCAGCACTCCGGAGATAGAGGCAGGAGGATCTCTGTGAGTTCCAGGACAGCCAGGGCTGTTACCCAGAGAAACCCTGTCTTGAAGGAGAAGGAGAAGGAGAAGAGGAAGAAGAAGATAATATTAAAGTTAAAAATCTGCTTGAGACCTCCCCCCAAATAAGGCTATTCTATGCTCAAAACTTGATGGTAATACCCTGTTGGAGGACATACCACACAAATTGATCCCAGCACATGGAACAATAAAGTTGTTGTTAACCGTGAAGCTTCCTTCCTCCCTGCTGGCTAGCTTTCACAGTACGAGAAGGTGCTATCGAGGCCACTGTGAGGAAGATGACATCATCAGTCTTACCCATCTCTGAACTACAATAATGACCACTGTGGCAAGATATGCCCATGGGCACATTAGTAGCACTAATGTTATAGGGGTAACTAATTGCTTTCTGACTATGTATGTGTAAGGTACATTCTATAGGAGGAAACGCATTCCTATACTGTAAATCTGGCTAAGAACCCATGGCTGGGGAACTCACTGTCTTAGGAATGAACATACTACTTATTCTGCTAAATGAGCTTTACTATTGAACGGCCCTCCAAATTTACATCTCTCTACCCAGATGGTAGTGCAGCTCTTAGACCTCATTAGAGAAGTTTCTTTGTTTAGTGGGCAGTGGTTAACAGAGAATAAGTGTTAGTGGTATGTTCAGCCATGGATGGACTTTCTCTTTCCTTCTCCCTTTCTCTCCCTCCCTCCTTCCCTTCCTCTCTCCCCCTCCCCCCCCCCTCTCTCTCATACAGACACACACACACCCAAGGCTCAGGGACCATTTTTGAAGAGAGGGCAGAAAAATGATAAGAAGCAAAGGTCAGGGAGAAAGGGAGGACGTGAGTGAAGCTGTGTCTTCTGAACACGATAGGACTACCGCACTCATGAACTCACAGCACTGTTGCCGGGGGTGGGGGCTAGAGGGTGGGGGTTTTGGGGGGCAGGGGGTGGTAGCTTTAGGGTTTGAAAAGACTCATGCCATTTCTAGTCTCTGTCTCTGCCTCCTACTTGCAGACCAAGGCGCTGGCTTTCAGTTCTTTCTGCCACCATACCTTTGCTTGACCATCATGGACTCTATCCCTCTGAAACACTAAGCCAAATAAACACTTCCTTTTGTAAATTGACCATGGTGTTTTGTCATAGCAATAGAAAAGTAACTAATACAGTGGGCTTTTGGGCTTGAACTCAGCAAGCACTTTACTGACTGAGCTAATTGCCCTAGCTTTTTCATTTGTTTAGACCAATCATATTTATGGATACTGGAAGGAAATACATAAAATAATGCTGAATAAATTTTACATGCATCTTTGTACAGTGGCATAATGTATTTTCTTAGCTGTTTCTTTTTCTTTCTTTTATTTTAACATCCATATTATCTCGGGGATCTGCCTGTCTTTGCCCCTCTGCCCATTCCTGAGCCCTCTGCAAGGGCAACAAGTGCTCTTAGCCTCTGAGCTATCTCTCCAGACCCTTCACTAATGATTTTAAGACTCTTTCTGTCTTTATTCCACTGACTTTTTGTTTTCCAATGCTGGGGACTGAACCAAGGGTCTTGCATATGCTAGACCAGCGCTCTACCACTGAGTTACACACTCAGCCCTCTCCCATTTAGCCATTCTTATTATATGCCGACTCCATGCCCACACTTGAATCGCTTTTCTGACCCTTTACTCTTTTCTGTGTATCTCCTTCCCTTTTCTTAAGCACGCACCAGTTTTCACCACTATGTTTTATGATGTACATATTGACAAATGATGCGCAAACTACACTCCTCTTTTTCTTGTTTCCTTGACTGGCTTCTTCCCATGCATTTGCTCTTCCATCTGAATCCATTTAGGAACATCTGTGGAAAATCTTTTGGATAGTTTGATTGTAATTACATTCAACTGGAACTCATATTTTGAGAAGCGTACTGATAATTGAGTGTTTTTTCTTTCCAAGATTTCAGCACACCCATTTATTATGTTTTTTTAAAGAGTGTTTTAGTTAAGTTTCTGAGTCACCTCCATAGTGATCCTGTTTGTCTTTCTTAAGCATCTGACAGTTCTGGTCACTCTTTTTCCTATGACGTTTTCTGATTGTGCTTACACTCAGGAAAGCTGTCAATTTTGGCATGCTGATCTTTTTAATTTCAATAGTCCCTTCATTGATTCTGTTTTGTTTGGAGACAATGTCTCACTATGTAGCTCTGGCTGAACTGGAATTCACCATGTAGACTGGGCTGGCCTTGAACTCACAGAGATCCATCTGCTTCTGCCTTCTGAAGTGCTGAGATTAAAGATGTGCACTACGCCTGGACCATTCATTGATCCTTAAAGTCTCCTAGGTGAAACAACGTGATGTCCCCTGCATGTAAACAGTGCTCTGTCTATTCGATTTTAATATCCTTGTCCCCAAAACATTTCATTAGATTTATTTACACACACTCTCTTTCTGTCCTTGCCCCCCACATGTGTGTATGGGGCGTGGCACACTGTGTGTGTGTGTGTGTGTGTGTGTGTGTGTGTATGTGCGTGCATGGCATGGCACACGTGTGGTGGTCAGAGGACAACTTGAAGGACTTAGTTCTCTCTTTCCTCCTGTGGATTCTGGGAAATCCAGACGGTCAGGCTTGGCAGCAAGTGCCTAAACCTACCGAGCCATCTCGCTGGCCATCTCTGTTTTAGTTGCACGATGCTGAGAATGATGAAAAAGGGGAAGGCACAGTAGACTTAACAAGAATGGAAACACATCTACTGGTGTACTGTGTTAGCTGATGTTAGACTTAACAAGAATGGAAACACATCTACTGGTGTACTGTGTTAGCCGATGTAAGCACGATGTAACAGCTCCAGAATCTCAGTGGTTAACGAGACAAGGGCTCCTAGTTGCATGTAGTTTAACGTGGTTGCCTCTTTAACACCTCCTGAAGGCAATTCTCCTTCAGGGGGTGATGTCAGGCCTTCCATCCTGTGATGGGACCACATTCAGCTCGCAGCCTTCAGATCTGCTGCTGAACAGGAAGAGGATGTGGGGAGGAGAGCAGACTTTGAACCACCCTGGCTTGGGAATGGTTTCCATGCACATTCTAGAGCTACATACATGCAACGGGTCTGGAAATGTAACCTCTGACAAGCTGGTTGTTTCCTAGAATCTTAGCATGCTTTTGCCAGTTCTTCACAACTTGAAAGTTTCTTGGAATCGGCACTTTGTAGTCTGACTGTCTTGTAGCTCTGTGCAGTGTTACTTGGTCCTCTCTTATTTCATCTAATGAAACATGAAAAAACATTGATTTTTGTCTTTAAAATGAAGAAAAGACACTTCCTCTCCACCCCACTATGAGCCAGTTACATGCTGTGTAGCCCAAACTTTCAATCTTCCTGCTTGCATCACCCAAGTGCTCACCTTGTACTGTGCACAACCACCCCTGGTCAAAGAATAATAGTTATTATCCTTTCATCATTTAAATATTTTAACACTTGATGATTTATAAAATTGCTTTGTTACAATAAATTCATAAATAAAAATACCAAACAGCTAGGTTAAAATAGCCACTTAAACACTTGCCCCATCCCAAACTTTGTACATCCCAGAGAACTTCCATCCAGGTGGAACAGCCATTCTGAAGCAGAGGAGTTTGACTTTGGGTTTTACACTTTCACTAACAATGACTTTTTATGTATGCACTTACCCAGCACAAAAAAAGGGAAAAAACTATGGCAGAGTTGAAACTAGAAAAACAATAACTTTATATTCCCTTTCATGGTCTATGTGTCCTTTTGTTCTGTCCTCTCCTTTGTCAGCTCCTATCATTGCTGTTTCTAACTGTTGTGATAACTGTGTTACAGCTGTTTGTACATATACATGTACCCATTATAGGCCAGGGTTCCAATACAAGGAGGAAGGTGACTTTTTTTTCTTTCTGATTTTGAGTGACTTTGCTCAATACTATACTCT